AACCAGGGATTGAACTCAGGCCCTTGTGCTTGCCAGGGAAGCGCTTATTCCACTGAGCCATCTCCCCAGTCCCCTGGCAGATCTTTAAATTGAGCTGCCTGCCTTATCACATTTAGAATTTTTCACAATTTGAATACAATTCCTTTGTCAGATGACACACATTTTCTCCCAATCTATGGGCTTTCTTTCCCATTTTATTGACAGTGTATTTTCGACAGCAAGCTTTAACTTTGATGGAAACCCAATTGTCAGGCTTCTGTTTAATAGTTAATGCTTTATATGACCCGAAAAGATTTGCCTAATAAGAATGTAAAGATTTTCTTCTATTTTTTTAATCTAGAAGTCTACAATCGCAGCTTTTCAGTGTAGGTGTGTAATTCACTTTGACATAACTTATGGTGGTTAAGACAAGAGTCAAAAATTATGTTTTCCTCTCACAGATCTAGCTGTTCGAGAGCTAGCTGCTTGCAAGTTATATTTTAAATTACTTTCTTGCTCATGTAAGGAAATTAATTTTTATATACTATACTGCATCAAGCAATCTTATTAAGATGACTCAGTATTTTCAATAGCTGGCCCAGCATGGTGGTGTGCAACTGTAATCCCAGCACTCAGGAGGCTAAGGCAAGAAGGTCACTGCAAGATCAAGGCCAGCCTGGGCTACACAAAGAGGAAAGGCCAGCCTGGACTACACAGAGAGGAAAGGCCAGCCTGGACTACAAAGCAAAACCCGTCTCAAAAACAAAACAAAACAAAACAAAATTCCAATAGTTTACTGATAAATTTTTCTATTTTCTACACAATCATATCATTTGAAATTAATAAATGTTTTACTTTTTCCCAGTTCTTGTGTCTTTTCCTTTTTCTGTTCTCTATTGTCACTATAATTGCCAGTAAATGTTCAACAGTACTGGTGACAGTGAGACAATGTCACATATGATATGACAATGACATATCATTCCCAGTCTTAAAATGAAGACCACTAACATCCTGTTAGGAATAGTAAGAAGTTATAAGCTTTTCATAAATGCCATAATGTATTCTTTGCAAATGATTTTTTTTTTTGCAAATGATTTTTTAATTCCTAATTTGGTACAAGTTTTAAATTTTGGATACTAGCTTTATCAAATATTTTTTCATACCTATTGATGATTATATGACCTATCTCCTTAATCTCTTAATACAGTAAATTATCCAAAGTGTTTCTCTTTTTCCTTCCTTTCTTCCTGGTATGATTCTTCATTCTTGAGACAGGATTTTACTGTGTAGTACAGGTTGGCCTCTAATTCATGGCAATCCTCCTATCTCAGCCTCTTGAGGGCTGAGATTACTGAACTGTTTTCAAATGATGAACCAACCTTGGAATAAACAAACTATTTTGTTTGTGATTACTGAACTTATGTTTCCCTTTCTTTCTTTTTTTTTTGTAGAACTGGGGATTGAACTCAGGTTCTTGTGCTTGCCCGGCAAGTGCTTATTCTACTGAGCCATCTCCCCAGCCCCATGTTCTTAATAATTTTTCTTAGAATGTTCTTATTTGACATCAAAACTGGGGTAAATGCCTAAAACAAGTTGGGAAATGTTCCTGCTTTCCCTATTCTTTGTAAAAGAGCCTGAAAAAGCCTCTATCTCTTTTACAAAGAATACATTCAAGGGGGCCGGGGAGATGGCTCAGTGGAATAAGTGCTTCCCTGGCAAGCACAAGGGCCTGAGTTCAATCCCCAGTTCTGCCAAAAAAAACCACCCCAAAACAAATACATTCAAATATTTTATAAATTGTGTCTTAATATTTTTTAGTTTAAAAATATTGGGTAGAAGTCAAAGGTGGAGACCAGTACTCCCAGAGTTACCTTTGAGGTAACTTGTTTAATTACTTCAGCAATTAAGACAATTATTGAAATTCTTTTATGTAAGTTTAAGTGAATTAATTTGGGTAGAGATTTCTGCATTTAAAATATTTTGAATGTGGTGCTTCAAGGATATCCAGATTCATGTATGGAGTTATTAGTATCTACAAGATCAACAGTGATTGCTCTTTATTCATTCTAGAACTGCACATTTGTAGCTTTTTTTTTAATTGATAGGAATTTACTAACTTCACTGGTCTTTTCAAAGAATTTTTAGCTTTATTGTTTCTTTCTACTATACACTGTATGCTATCTAGGTTTACCTTCATTTAAATTATTTTTTTCTGTCCTTCAACTCTTTCTCTATTCCCTATAAAACTCTAAACATATTTTATTATTGCTTGATATTAGCCCATAAACCACTATGACTCTGCATTTCGTTTTTAGTGCTTTGCTTTTTTGAAGACTTTCTTCTCTGTCGTTCATTGTGAGTTTCTTTGCTTATATCTTATGGCACGACTCATAACTTTGCCATTATTACCACTATAATTTTTTTTTTTTTTTAATGTATTTGGTACAGGGTCACACTATGCAGCTTGGACTCATAGCGATCCTCTTGTTTACAGCCTCCCCAGCACTGGAATTACAGGCTTACGCCACCATGCCCAGTCTTGGGGCTGGCTCAGCATGCCTGGGGGGTGTGGCTGATGTGGCATGTGGTGCCGGGGATTGAATCCCAGTCTATGTGGTTGCCTAAGCAGGTGCTTAGTCTACTGAACTATCTTGCCAGCCCATCAATCCCACTTTATACATTTTGGATAAATATCTAGGAAGAAGATGTCTATGTCACTTAGTAGATGTGTATATTAACTTTTTAATTTCCACAACAATAAGAGTCCCAGTTTTGGACATGTATATTAGACCTATATTAATTTTTATTTCAGATAACTTTTACGTAAAGAATTTCACTTAAAAATTACAAAAGAGTTTCATTTGAGTGACTTAAAATACTCCTTTGAGCTATAACTCAAATACTATAAAGTTCACCCATTTAGTTTTTATTATAATA